CAATCTACCAGGAAAGAACCGTCTGTGGCCTCGCCCGTAGGACGTCCTGCTGGAACATGAGGCCATATGGATCAAGACAGTGAGTCAGAGTGGAACCCAGTAAACAACCTTCCCGCCGGATCATCCGAACTGGCGGGAAAGGCGTGGGACGTAGAAAAAAGGGGTCCCTTCATGTCAGCCGCCTCCTGGGTTACGCCGGGCAACCCCTGAGGGCGCCGTCGGCTGGGAGCGGTGTGATCGCCGATGCGAAACGAGGTGGGATGGGGTGAGCATTCACTCAGCCCCCCTCCACTGACACTACGCTCCCCAGGAGGGAATGAGCAGCGGGGGCTGCAGCTGAGCGCGCCTGTCCCAGAGGAACAATCCGATTTGCTCCGAGGGTCGGTGATAAGAGGAAAAATTACAAGATGGCGTTGTCCAGCGTGTAGTGACCTGTCACTGAGAAATATTCCTCGGCGCTTACCTTGAAATAAGACTGCTCGTCAGCTTCTCCTCGGGGAGGAGAACCCACCGGACGACCGGAGGTCGACTGCCGGGCCAAGCATCCTTAACAAAGGTTGGTCATCTACACAATTTTCCTTCTTTGTTCTTCTGACAGTGCTATTAGCTTGCTGAAGAAAAAATGGGAGCCGATTTCCCGCTCTTAACGTAATTTATACGGACCGGGTAGGGCCCACACAGCAGGTGGGCCTGGACTAAATTTTTCAGTTCTAATGCTCCGCATAACGGGATAAACCCACCAAGCGACAGCCTTAAAGGGCGAAGCTTATACGAAATAGAACAGCGCCTTTAAGGCTAAATTTTACAAACAAGTAAACTAATGTAAATTTCACATAAGATAAAAGTTTTTAAATAATTTAGGTTCTTCAGCGGAAAATGTAAATCAAATAAAATATTTGAATAACTCTAAAAGTTACAAAACCTTCACTTCATGGCTGTAACATCGAACGAGTTGAACATTCTGACACCTGAACGGTTGAGTTAGCTGAACGTTTGTTGAAGTCGTAAAGGAAGGGAATCACTTCCAGCTACTACCACACCAAATGTCAGCACATCTGCAAAACTGACTGAGTTATATCTTTATGTATTTTTGTGTTTTCTATGATCATTCGGCTGTGGCGGCCATCTTTAATCGTGTTGACTTCAAAAGTTAATTAGTCATAGAGGTATGTAGTGGTGTCAGGGCCAGCTTAGCTGCACCTTCCACTACTAATTATTTAAATATAACGGGTTCTCTCTTTTTTGAGTTAAATTAAGGCCATGTGACGAGGTACTGTGAGGATTGTGTTTAAATCAGTGACATGAGACGTTAATTTCCTTTGACCCATCACAATAAATGTGGTCATTTATTTAACAGAATCAAAATTTAACATCAAACATGTACAAGTGATTAGCTTATCTGGTTCTGATTAATAAAACTCAGCACATTTTACTTAAAAAGACAACAAGACATTTCTGAAGGCATTTAGATTACTGGCAAAATAGAAGAGTTTTAAAGGAAGGATTGAAGGAGTTTAAATGGAAGATAGATGAAGGAAAGATGTATGTTTTGTTTACCAGAATTAGCACGCTTCTTTCAACACCAGCTCAAACCCCGGTCCACTTAGTGCGCAACAACTCGTGACGTCTCTTTACCTTTGCAGATGATGGATCAGCTCCGGTCTAGATGTCCCTATGCACGCTACCTTTCAGTGTCTCCGGTAAGAGCAGCTGGCCATTGTCAGAAGTCGTGTGGTTTACTCCGTTAAACAGAACAAGCTTCCTTCGAAGTTGTAGGGCGTTACGCCCGGGTGAGTTAACAGCGAGGCGCTGTGACTCCACTGGGATGGACGGACCCTCTTCTCACAGTCAAATCCATCAGCTATTGATTAAATCTGAAAGTTCCTTAGGAACTCTCAGTAAGACTCAGTCAGAAATTCCACTCAGAAGTAGAAGACTCCATAGTCCCAAGAAAGACTCAGGAAACTGGAAGACAAGACTGAAGACTGAAAAGACCCGAAGACTGAAGACTCCAGGAAGTGTGGACTTTTAAAGAGTTCTCACTTCCGGTCACTTCAGGACTTCCTGATTGGTTGAAACAACCAACACGGGGTGGTTCTAGTGATGTCAGAGGGTTATTACAAGACAAAAGGAGTGCAAGAATGTTTTAGGAACTTTTAGTACAGACAGGGAAATGTTTTGAAGAAGAGAGAGGAAGCAGGTGCCAGTGTTTCTTATTTACTGTCTGCTAGGTTTAAAAACAATCCACTTCGTTCTAATAACTTCTTTCTGACTGTCTCTGACTTTTGACCGACATCACTACTTCTCATTCAGACAGAAGATCAAAATGCATTATTACTTTGTAAATAGACATTTAACTTGATTTCTAATTTAAATGAGGATTTAAAAAAATCATTAATACTGTTTCACTGTTGATTTAAAATAAGTAGTTCATTTCAACTTTAGAAATGATATGAACTAAACACACCTTTGATTATCAAGATATTGTAAAATAGTAATGATAATGTAAAAGAAGAGTGTTCTTTCAATTGATTACTTCAGGATACAATTAGACAGTCTCTGGATGAGCTAATTTGTATTTCTGGATTCAAATCAATGAAATAACAGTTCCTGTCCCATGAAGGTCTTCAGAGGCAGATTTTGGTCAGAGACATCCAAAAATTACATAAGTAAGTTTCAAAACATTTTGTTCAGAGGTTCATGAAATATTTTGCTAACAGACAGACTGAGCTGAGTCCAAATAGGCAATAGCAAAATTTTAGATTTCTTGTGCATTTTGCTTGGACTCAAAATAAGTGTTTGGGGTCAGTCTCAACTACTACTACTTTGATTTTATTTGTCATTGTATGTAAAAAAATAAAAATAAAATAATAATAACTGTGTTCCATATTTCATCTCATTTTAAGGTCTGTTGTCTGTGGCAGCCATCTTGAAATGGGCTGGATCCAACCGTTCTATTCAATTCAGTTCATTTATATAGTGCCACGTCACAACAGAAGTCATCCCAGGGCACTGAACAGAAACATTCATACTCTTTATATAAAAATAAATGGACTGTACTAATTTAGCACCTTTCCTTCTGATCAAGATACTCAAAGCTCTCTTGAAAATGAGTTCTCATGGCTCAATGAGACTACCTGTATAAATAAAGGGTAAATGAAAAAAAAAAAGCTCTTTACAATCTGTGCCTCATTTACCCATTCATACAGCACTCTACTAGATCTCTACAAAGATTAATCAGTACTTTATCACATTCATACACTGATGGGACACACATCAGAGGCAATGAGAGGTTCAATGTCTTGCCCAGGGACACTTCAACATGTGACTGCTGGTGGAATTGAACCCCCAACTCTCCCATTGGAGGATAACTGCTCTAACCTTTAAGCCACAGCTGCCCCATGTGAAATAATTTAACATTATTTATCTGAGGAGCAGACTGCTTTGAGATTAACTCCATCACAGAACTCTCATCTTGAACAAGCATGAAGGCGACAGTGGAAAGGAAAACTTCCTCGCCAGGAAGAAACCTTTAGCAGAACCAGACTCAGGACAAGCGGCCATCTGCTTTGACCGACTGAGTTTGGTAGGAACAGATACACAATGGCAGGTCAAGAATCACATGTTAAGATAGAAATAGTATCAAATGAAAACGATTAAATTTTAACAGTTCATTTAAGGAAATGAGGTTAATTTGTCCTCCGGTAGTTTAAGGTTATAGCATAACAAGGCAACCCTAACTATAGGATTTAGCAAAAAGGAAAATGTTAATCCCAGTCTTAAACCTGGACAATATGTCAACCTCATGGACAGAAACTGGAAGATGTTCCACAAGAGAGGAGCCTGATAACTGAAAGATCTTCCTCCCATTCTGCTTTTATAAACTCTAGGAACCGCAAGTAAACCTGCAGTCTGAAAGCAAAGTGCTCTGTTAGGAAAATATGGAACAATAAGGTCTGTAATATAAGATGGAGTTAGGTTGTTGAGAGCTTTGTAGATTTTTTTATTTTATTTTTTATTTTATAAATTTATTCATTTTTTAAAACAAAACAAAACAAAACAATTGTATATACAATAAGAAATACAATCACAAATAAAATGAAAGGCAACAGAAAGAAGAAAAAGAAGTAAGATTTTGAATTCACTTCTGTTCATCACTTGTAGAGATTGTTGAATTATAAGTTTTTTCAAGTTTCATTCAAATCTGCCCAGTGGTTTCTGGGATTTTGTTTTGACTGACAGGTGTTCACACAATCACAGACAAAACGTAATCTTCTGCCTTTACCTTCCAGTCGCAGGTAATAACTTTCATCAAGAATTAGTAAAATTACCAAAAGTTGCTTCAATGTGTAGAAGTTATGGTTTTAATTTAGATAAAATATTTTCCAGCTTCCTGTTTTGAATAACAGTCACTTGCCAAAAAGGCAGGTTGACTGTTCCTATTTATTCAAGTTTTAAGCTGATTAAATTAAAGCACTGCACAGACTGTTGTGTATACATTTGTTGTTGTTAAGCACTTTGATAACAGGTTCTGTTTTAAATGTGCTCTATAAATAAAGTTGACTTGACTTGACTTGTACATCCCTTTTTTTCCACAGTTTTCATCTGTTCTTTTTACCTAGTTTGTGTTTTTTTTTAATGAGCCCTGACATGGCCCCAGCACAGAGTCGGGGGCCACAGCTTTGTTTGGAGGTCCATACCTAGTGAATATGTTGAATTTTTATGAGTCTATGTAGGTGACAGAGTGAATTACCCCCTTCTGTCCTCTGAACCTCTGCGTTTGTGTCTCCACACAACTATAGCTTACAGGCCCGGCACCCCAACACAGAGGAAAAACGCCTCGGTCAGGGCTTTTCTTTTGACTGCGGAGTGCTTACAGGCAGGCCGGAGGGGCCAGCGGTGTTTCCAGGCACGACCACAACCCGGTGGCTTTAACTCAGGCCAACTGTGATGACGAGAGGCTTTCTATTGTGCCGTGAGCCCCCACGTTCAGCCTTTGCCAGAGTATAAAAGCTTGGGTTGAGCTCTGACGGGACCAGCACGAGCCAGCCTCCTTCACACGGCGCTACAAGCTGTACTAACGCAGGTAAGGACACACAGACACAGACACACACCTCTAAGCATCCAGATGAGCATCCAGAGTCAGGACCTGATCCCTGCACTGACTCCACTGTGTCTCCCTTCAGCTCTTGGAAAACTCCCCAAAACAGAAGTCCAGAGCCCCACATAAACACAAATCTGGTTTTCTGTATAAATCACACACACATATATACAAAACAGTTCTAACAGCAGTCCCACAGATAATTTTAACCTCTCTTAGTCATTAGTTTCTACTTCAGCACTTGTCACCCTACCATACCTCCCTCTGTACTCCTGACACTTCCATTTACGCCTCTAATTCTGTTTGTCTCCTTGTCTCCCTGCATCTCTAACGCAGACTCTCCTGAAGCCCCTCACCATGTCTCAGACTGCCAAGTCCGCCTCCAGCCAGGGCACTGATGCCAAGGACAAGGGAGCCCCTGCAAACGCTGCCACCAGCAAGGTCACCAAGACTGGGGAGCCTGGCATGGGATCCTACAGAGTGAGTCACTGTGCACTTCATGGTGAAACAGAATCATTCCATGCAACAAGTTTTGAGGCCATGAAGTAACCATTTAGGAGGAGTGTGGGGCTTCAACAGACTTAATTTCAGACAAACAAGACAGCAAATTCTTTCACAAATTGGTGTATGTTAGTATGAGTTCAGTGTGCAATGAGCTTTGAATTCTGTTGAGGCTTTAGGACCCCAGTATTTGGATCTAAAAACTGAGAGGGTGAGGCACAAGGCTCTGTGTCTTTGTGATAGTTGTGACTGTCGTAAAGATATGTTTTTTTTCCACGAAGGATGTTCCTCAGCAATGCCAATGCTTACCCTCTTTAATTCTTAATCACATTAACTAAATCAAAGGTAAAAGAGGTTAAAATGAAGATTAAATGATTAGCAGAAACTGTTTTGTAGAAGCAGATCTACAAAGAAAAGTTTGAGTGTTTAAAAGCCAATTAAATGTTGCCATGTAGCAGCTTTCTGCCATGTTGGCAACATAGCTGAGGCTCAGAAAATAACCAGCAGGGACCTGTTGTGTTTTTATTTTAGGATAAGAGTGCATTTAATGAAGGAAAACCAAAATATAAAAGCACATCTTCCAAATAAGTGTAGTGAAGCAAAAAGGGATGATGTTTGCTAATGATTTAATAATTCTTCACTGTAAAACAAGATTTTGCCTATTCGTTGTTTTATTCTAATATTAAGTGTAATTTTCACTTAAATAATGTCATAAAGATTAAATAAAACTATAAATTAAAAACATCTTGGTTACCAGAAAAATGCTGATTGACCTCACTGAATGTTAGCTGTGGAGGTCACTCAGGCAGGAGGGCGGAGTCAAACATTTGCTTCTAATCCATTTTAACACCATCTGTCACCCTTTATGTCAGCACTTAAATAAAATAACTTTATTTATTTATTTACATTTTCATCTAGTTAAGGATTCTTTTCAATCAATGAACAATTTGGAGGGTTAGTTAAATGTTGTCCTGTTGCACAAAGATTAATTTAATTCAAAAAGCCATCTTGGTTTTGTTGAAATAGACTTTTAATTTCATATTAATGTAGCTTTAGTTCAAACAGTTAATGAGTTACATTCAATTGACCACATATTTTTAATCAGGCTGAAACAGATTTTCAGATTAAATTACAGTGAGCAGTTTAATCTGTAGTCAAGGTCACATCAGCAAAAACTTCCCATTGTATTTAACTGAAATAGATTTACAGATTTAAAGAACTATCCAAAGAAGATCCATCAGTTAGTAAATTCATATACAATAAAATAATATGCAGGTTTACACAAACAGAGATTTTTAATTAGCGTAAAACAGATCAAACTTGCATCACATAAAATAAGAGTTAAGTTATGGATATCAGAAAACTTAAAAATAGTTCAGATGTGAGAAATAAAAATAATGACAGGGTAGCATCAAAATGTAAGATAAATATTCAGAAAAACAAGTGTTTTTTACAAACACATAAAATATAAGTATCAATCATTTTAGTTTGTTTCAAAGTTCAGATTCTAACTTAAATAGTTTTTACAAACCATCCAATTCATATTTAAAAATATCACTTAGTTTTACAAAGTTTCTATATTTTTCAGTGAAATCTTATAATAGTAGTTTAACATGATCAATAAATGTGCAGCGTTTGTATATTTTTACTTCAGCTGTTTCATGACATGAAGCTAATTTTCTGTGCAGATGATGCTGTTCGACCAGGAGAACTTCCAGGGCAGGATGATGGAGATCCAGAATGAGTGTATGAACGTGTGTGACCGTGGCATGGATAGAGTGCGTAGTATCATTGTGGAGTGTGGCCCGTAAGTGGACACTCACACACACACACACACACACACACACACACACACACACACACACACATGGACATTCTAATTTTACTGTTATTCTCCATCTAACTCTTCTGTCCTGTTGTCCCTCACCTCACATTTGTGATCCCCCTCCATCCCCCGTCCTCCCCCCTCCCACTCCTCCAGCTTTGTTGCCTTTGAGCAGACCAACTTCCGTGGGGAGATGTTCATCCTGGAGAAGGGAGAGTATCCTCGCTGGGATACCTGGAGCAACTCCTACCGCAGTGACTGCCTCATGTCCTTCAGGCCCATCCGCATGGTACATGCAGCTGTTGAATTATTCAGATAGTATAAAAATAATGTGTTATGCGTTGTCATCATTGTATGTTTCCATATAATGGTGAAATTGGCTCTCTGCAGTTAAACCATCCACCACCAGGTGGAGCAGTGGGCTTCTATTGAAGACACCCGGGGGTAGGGTGTGCTGCTCAGAGACACCACGAGATGTGCAATGACTGGGGATCGAACCTGGGACTTTCAGGTCCTGGGTCGGCTGCCCTGCTTCTACACCATCTTGATCCCCTACTAGTGGGCTACATTCTGTGCAAGAGGGCAGGACATTTCATCTAAATATTTCAGAAATAGTGGAGAATCCAACTAAATAGAAATGTAAAAACAGCAGAGGCACATACTCTCCTTTAGTGATGGGTTAATTGACTGTGTTACATTTGATCAAAATACAGCAGATTTATTAAGAACATATGCCATGATATTACCAGAACCCTATTAAGGGTTTCCTCTGTTCCAAAATCAGAAGAACACTGCCACCTGTTGATTCACAGCTAAAACTAAAGTCTATAAAACAAAATATGTGGACAAATATGTGCATTTCTTGGCAAATGGAAACAAAATGTTCTTGTCTTTTTTCCCTGCAGGACAGCATGGAGCACAAGATTTGCCTGTATGAGCTCTCCGACTTCAAGGGTAACAAGATGGAGATCCAGGAGGATGATGTACCCACCCTCTGGGCGCACGGCTTCTGTGACAGAGTGGGCAGCGTGAGGGTGCCAGGAGGAGCGTGAGTGGACACATTTACACACTTTAGCTGTTTTCTAAAATGAATTAATTTAGCTGAAGATGGGAAGCTGTCAGACAGAAAACACCTAGAGGCAGCTTTTCAAAAATCAAAAATAGAGGAAATACTATTTTAAGCATAAGCAAGTAAACATCAAGCTACTAACATCACATGACTCTTTGGACTTAGAACAAAGTGGAGTTTATTTATCTAAAGTGGGGTGAAATAGCAATCCCAGAATTATTTTCTGAGAATCCTCCAAGCATTCCAGTAAAAGGACATTGTCATTTTCACAAGCTTTTGGCATGACATGACAGGCATGACATCCCAAAACAAGCCTTGCAAATACATTAACCAATGGTCCAATAAAACCTCCTAGGGTAACACAATATCTGACAAGCAAGAAATCATAAACATTGACATCAATAACTTTCAAATATTTTCAAATCCTCTAGTTTCCAAGAATCCACTGGAACGTTTTTTAATGAGACTGTTCTAAAAAAGCCCCAAGGACTTGTTCATAAAACAGTCCTTATCCTTGATAAACAGTATTCTGAGGGATACTTTGATTTGGTGGCAAACTGAGCCCATTCAGTAGTTGTTTGAAATAGCTAAAAGACAACCACTGTTTTTCTAAAATTAGTCTTACAGCCCATTCAGTGACCTCCATAACTTCATGAACTAGAGTCCAAATCTTCCAAGGAATCGCTGATCTCTCAAGAACCCCAAAGCAAACTTAATCTCTTTAGGACCTTTAAAGTAGACCTCTCCAACCAATGTTCTCGATGTCCCTGTCTCTTAACAACTACATATGACTTTCTGCAAGATTTCTATAGTGACTGTGTTCTGAACAGAATCTTCAGTTCCTAAAATACCATGAGAACCTTCTGTGGGGCAACGACAAGCAACTCTGTGGCTCTATCAAAGAAAAACAACATTTTAAGAAATGGCCTCTACAATCAACTTAGTGATACTGTTTATAACATGTAAAGCGTATTGTCCAGTATTGCTTAGAACACGCTCAGTCACAAGGAAAAAAAAAAAATCACAAATACCCCTAAGGACCTCTCCTGAGCTTAGTAGAACTCTTCCATTACTCTACAATGGGTCAGTGGGTCTTTGTGACCACCAACCCTTCTTGCAATGCCACAGAACATCATAAATGAGGTAATGTATCTCCTTAGTAACCAGTAAACTTTATAAAAGACTAATTGACAATCCCTTAAGGTCATAGATGATGGTGATGGAAGACAAGGTTCTTTAGATGTTCTTCAAGCTACTCCCTGTGAATTCTCTGCTAATCACAATTGCTTAACACAAAGGTTTCAAAGGCAACTTTTACCATAGACTTTCAAAGAAAGTCGATAAAGAACAATTGTTTCCGAGGTCTTTACATTTATGTTTACAACTTCAAAGTAATGCTTTAATGCAGAGGTCCTCAGAGGCCAAAATCCTGCAATGTTTTAGAGGTTTCCCAGCATCCTTACACCTAATTCAGTGGTTAAATTACCTCTTCATCAATCACCCATTGATTCAAATCAGATGTGTTGGAGCAGAGAATCATCTAAAACATGTAGGATGGTAGCCCTGGACACCCCTGGTCTAAGGTGTCCTTCTGTCCTTTGGGCTGTCCTCTTTGAGTTATGTTGTCCTCAATCTGTTTAAAATATAGAATCTGTCAGAGAAGTACAGTGGGTCTAAAACCAATAATATCTCTTAAAGACGCTCCGGAACATCTTCGACAACCACTGAAATTTCTTTAATTAGACTTCACAAACATCCTGCCAATGGTCACTGGAAACATCTAGAAGAACAATTAAAAATTATAATCAGATCCTAACAAATGCTTTAAGGTCAACAAAAGTTACCAAAGAGTGTTTGAAATGACATCACAAACGTACACACCCCAAAGAAACTAGGAAAGGGATGAAGTTTACATGGCGGATATAAATCATGACACAAATATTTGAATATTTGAGAACCAGTGGAAGGCACTGACCCAACTTTGACTGTCCTCCCCCTCTTCATGTCTCTCAGTTGGGTGGGTTACCAGTACCCCGGCTACAGAGGCTACCAGTACCTGTTTGAGTGCGGTGACTACAGACACTACAACGATTTCTGCGCCTTCCAGCCCCAGATCCAGTCCATGCGCCGTATTAGGGACATGCAGTTCCACCAGAGAGGATGCTTCACCTTTACCTCTGCCAGCAAGTGAGTGACGCCTGCAGGCCACCTGGTGACGTTCTAGCTTTTTATCTTGCCAACAAAAAAACCCTTCCTCCAATTCTCCACTCCTTTCCTCAACCTCCACCATCACTGCTTCATCCCAAAGGAAAGGCAGAATGAGAGCAAATACAATGGGCATGTTTATGTGACTTTTTATGGTGCTGCAAATAAACATGTTGTGAAAAACTGGATTTCTCCATGGCTGGATTACATTTATTTATTTATTTATTTAGAATTCCCTCTCCTGGTGAATCTGTTCAAAGATTTTATCTACTGGTAGTCTTAAAGATTTCATCTAATTAAGATACTAAGTTGGGGCTTGATGGGAAGTTTATTTGAATCTGTTTTCATGTGGTAATTTTAGATAGTAAAAGTTTTCATATCCTTATTCAACATTAAATGTGTAAGTCGAAAGTCAGTGTTTTAATTCAGTCAAATCTAAAAACAACAGTGTAATAATAGTGCAATAATAATAACAGAAGTGTGGCTGAGAGATGGAATCAAAGCAATAAAGGGAGATATCTATTTGCTGTGTAACCTCATTTTTATTTCATGAGACAAGGCAGGAGGAGCAAATGAGATGAAACCATATTGACAAGATTAAAGATAGGATGTACAGGATTATTTGTCTTTATTCCATCCATCCATCCATCCATCCATCCATTATCTTTACTTACTTCTTCCTTTTTCGGTCATGGGGACCACTGGTGTCCAGCAGTCACTGTGCGAGAGGTGAGGTACACCCTGGACAGGTCTCCAGTCCACCACAGGAACACATAAAGACAAACGAGACAAACAACCATTCACTGTCTCACTCACACCTAGAGACAATTTAGAGTTACCAATCAGTCTAACATGTACTGTATGTTTTTGGTCTGTGGGAGGAAACTGGAGCACCTGGAGAAAACCCACACATGCACGGAGACAAACTCCACCTAGAAAGACCCCCAGGCCAGAATTTGAACTGGTGACCTTCTTGCTAAAAGGCAACAGCTCTACCATCTGAGCCACCGTACTGCCCCATCATGTAGAGAAAATAGTTGCTGGTCCGTTAAGTGATCATCTGCAAAGAAATAATCTGTTTGAAGAGTTTCAGTCAGTGTTCAGAGCACACCACAGCACTGAATCTGCACTGGTAAAAGTTACTAGTGATATTCTCATGGCCTCTGACAATGGACTTGTGTCTATACTGGTCTGTTAGACCTCAGTGCTGCATTTGATACAGTTAATCACAATAATTTACTACAGTGACTTGAATATGATATTGAAATTACAAGAATGGCTCTAAATTAGTTTAAATCATATCTATCTGATAGATTCCAATTTATAAAAGTAAATAATGAATCTTCATCATACACCAAAATTAGTCATGGAGTTCCTCAAGGTTTAGTGCTTAGACCAATACTCTTTACCTTATATATGCTTCCATTAGGTAAAGTTATTAAACAGCATGGGATACATTTTCATTCTTATGGTGATACACAGTTATACATGTACATGAAACCAAATTAATCCAATCAGCTACTTAGACTACAAGCATGTCTTAAAGACATAAAAACCTGAATGACCCTTAATTTTCTCCTTTTGAACACAGACAAGACTGAGGTTTTGGACCTGAGCACCTTAGGAATTAATTTTTCAGTCTTTCTCCCTCCTTAGATGGCATTAATCTGCCCTCCAGCTCTAATGTTAAAAATATTGGTGTTATTTTTTATCAGGACATGTCTTTTATCCCCCACATTAATAACGTTACTAGAACTGCCTTCTTCCACCTGTGCAATATCACTAAAATTAGAATCAGGCTCCTCTCTTGTGCAACCAACTTCCAGTTTCTGTCCGTGAGGCTGACACATTGTCCAATTTTAAGACTTTCCTTTTTGATAAATCATATAGTTAGGGTTGGCTTGTTATGCTGCTATAGGCTTAGACAACTAGAGGACAAATTGACCTTATTTCCTTAAATAATTTGATAAAAAATTTAATAGTTTTCATTTGATACTATTTCTATCTTAACATGTGATTCTTGACCTGCCATTGTGTATCTGTTCCTACCAAACCCAGCCGGTTGAAGCAGATGGCCGCTTTTCCTGAGCCTGGTTCTGCTAAAGGTTTCTTCCTCATGAGGGAGTTTTTCCTTTCCACTGTCGCCTTCATACTTCTTCTGTGATGGAGTTAAACTCAAAGTAGTCTGCTCGATAAATAACCAAAAATAATGTTAAATTATTATTATTTTTATATATAAATGTTTCTGTTCAGTGCCTTGAGATAACTTCTGTTGTGATTTGGTGCTAAATAAATAAACTGAACTGAAAATTTTCTGGTCACGGGGTCACTGGTACCCATATCCAGCAGTCTTTGTTTGTCCCGGTGAACCACCCTCGTCCTGGTCAGTGGATCACCCCAGCCCTCCTGAAAAGGGGTCGTAGGCCTCCTGGGCTTCTAGGTTTCACCCAGATAGGACTGCGGTTGGCCCTGCTTAGGCTGGGTACAGGAGAGGTTCGTCCAGACTACTCATGGTCCAGCCACAAGCCACCCCTTCATCTCACCCGATGGCTCATACGATCAAGTAGCCATGATCAGCTCGTTGTCCATGCGAAATTTGTGTTAACGATCCCCCTTTTTTTAATAGACAAATCTCATTTGGTATCCAATCTGGTGGACTTTGGTGTCTAGGCACAAGACACCAGGGTGTTGTTTCAACAAGTCATTCAGCTAAGAAACCTTTCAAAGGACTCCTACAAAAATGTTAAAAACCAGGCACTTTATGTCTGTTGTCTTACATTCATTTTCTTTCAAATTTCTTTCTTAGGAGCGGCTGTGGCTGAGTGGTTAGAACAGTCGTCTTCCAATGCAAGAGTCAGGTTCGATTCCACCAGCAGTCACATGCCGAAGTGTCCCTGGGCAAGATATTGAACCCTTCATTGCCTCCGATGTGTGTCCTATTGGTATATGAATGTGATAAAGTACTGATTATTCTTTGTATAGTTCTAGTAGAGTGTTGTATGAAATGGTAAATGAGGCACAGATTATGTTGTAAAGATCTTTGATTGTCTTGATAAGATAGAAAGGTGATATATAAGTACAGTCCATTTACCATAAAAATCAACTGATAGAGAATGATGAAAAGTCCAAAACTTCAATGGTTTCTCATGCTTTGCTTTTTTAATCAGTAGTTTTGCTGACATGTTACTGCTTATGGCATCTAATTTGCAGTATTTGTGCCTAGATGGGCTTTTATAAACAGGATATCGAAGATATTACTAGGATGCTGAATGGCAATAAAAGAGTAAAATAATTAAAAAATAATATTAACAACATAAACAGTCATTCACATAAAACAATTAAAACAATAAAATCCATTAAGCATGAATTATATGCTGTTTTTGACACAGACAGAGTTTAGTTTGTTTTTTAAACATATTCAATCTGGTTACAGACTTTAAATTGACAGGGAGTGAGATCCAAATTGCAGATCCTCTCACAGAGAGAGAACTTTGAGCAAAAGTGGTTCTACAAAAAGGAACCTTATAGGCGCCATTTAAAGCGGCTCTGGTAGTATAAGTAGAAAATATAAAAAGGAAATAAGAGGCTGTAGGGAAAAGGTTTAAATACCTTTCTTATTTCAGATATTAAGGGACATTTGAAATATAAAGGACCTAGCATTAAGGATTGTGTGTTACCTGCTACCTTTCAAGCCAGAGATTTAAACTCAAATCATCTCATTATAATTCTAGTCAAACCTTGTAAATGATATTATGCTCAGTCTTACCCAATATTGTGAGAGCTTTCATAATCTGTTAATACATGTGTTGAGGGTGACTCTCAGATAAGATTTAGATCGACATTAGGAAACTCGATCAACTTGCAGTCATTTCTGTGTTGGTTGAGGTTGATTAGCTCCAAAATTTAGTGAGTTAACAACGTATATCCAGTGAGGGATTTTTGAGTTCCTCAAAAATCTGTGCAGTGGTTCATGAGATATTTTGCTAACAGACAAATAGTATTGACATCAGTAGTTAAAGCTAAGGTTTTAAGCAAAGATTTTCGATGTTTAGCACTCAAAATATGTGACATGGATGACTCTTGGCTACTACCCCACCCCATTTTAGCCCAATAGCTGTAAAACTGACCAATCTAAATAATTTTGGTGTAGGCCATGGATGTTTCCAATCCAGCGGCCTCATCCTTCGAAGGATATGGCCGCTGAATTGGGACATCGCTTATTATTGTTGATAAGCTGAGGTGGCCATTTTAAATTGGAGTGGGTCTTAAAGTTAATTAGTAGTAGACGTACATCCAGTGATTACTGTCTGAGTGTTTCTTTAAAATTGTTTCAGTCTTTGATTTGACATTTTTCTAACAGGTCAGTAGACTAGCTGTAATTCCACTCCAGACCGCAGGGGGCGGATAGCCGCAGTTGTAGTTTGCTACTGCAGTTACAGTCCAAGAAGAAGAAGAGGCAGGAGACCAGGAGACACCAGGACGTTTCATAAATTACCTGCAGAAGCCTGCACACTGAGGAACCATGGCTGCACTTTTTAAAGCAAGAAGAGGTGCGTTCATGAAGACAGCAAAGATACTTTGCTTCAAATAAAAATACATAGTGTTTCCAGTTTTAGCCTTCGAGCGCTGGTTTTAGCAGTAGCTTAGCTACACCGGCAGCAGCTTCACGAATCACATTTCGTTAACTTTGTAATGTATGACCAGATAAATGAAGCCTATATATTGTTTTCTGCTATAAGAAATAGAAATACGTAATAAACGTGCTTAGAATAATGTTACTGAAAGCTGGTGGGCGTGTACAGCTGTTTAAATTGAGCTGAAGATGGTAAAAATGACCTTTCACCCTGTTTTTGGTGTTGCGTTCAAAAACCCCAGCCAGTGTGGAATTTATTCCCGATACTATGAAAGCTTTTCTTCGGGGTTCGTTAAACAAGGATAAACTGCCAAGCATGCAGCTAGTCTCTGATAGTTGATTTAAAGTTATGATCAGTTCAGTTTATTTATACAGCTCCAAGTCACAACAGAAGTTGTCTCAGGGCACTGAACAGAAACATTCATACATTATAAATGCCAATTAGAAAAGTTTTCAATCTAAGGAAAGAGACCAGCATTGTGTTGACGTTGAGTCTTCATTTCATTTAGGAAGCCATGTTGTTGTCATGAATGCTGTGTGTAGTTTGCTGAAATATACAAGGACTTCCTTTTAAAAAACGAGTAATTTAGATTACTGTAGTTCTAAAACCTGTTTGTACTTGTCTGCCTCAATGTAGGCACTTGGACATTTTTCAAAAGTTGTTTTAATGACCTTCTGCTTGCAAAAAAGAAGAAAGAGCACTAAAAATGCAACAAAAGGACACCTCATTTGTTAATATTGAATGAATAAGACAGGAGATATTGTCATTCAAAGTAGTAGTTTTAATGTACTTTAATTAAGCTTATTTACATAACAACAGAGAAAAAAAATTGTGTAAATTAACAGATATTTCTGACTGAAAAGAAGTGTTTATTAAAATGAACACCAGTTCTAAGTGGTAAACAGTATCCTAATCAAATTCAGTGGTGATGTCACTGAATATATGCAAGTGTTTTTCCTACTGACCTTGGGGACACCAGGTGACCTTGATGACTCCAAGGTCAAAGGTCACATTGGTGCAGTCTTGAAGCTAACAGAAACGGTTACTTCAATGAAAACAAACATATGCACAATTTGTGATCCATTCTAAGGTGAATTCTGTACAACTATGACTGTAAGTATTCACTATGACATAATTTTCAAGTATTATGTACAATCTGTGGCGGCCATATTGAATAATGGTGTCCACATTGGAGAAAAACTGCAAATTTTACGTTGTGCCAAACTATATCGTGTAGGGTATCAAAATGGAGCTCAGAATGAGAGGTTTCTAAAACTGCACCTTATGCCCAGATTTAAAACTTTTTCCCCCCTCTCTTTTAATGTAACACAAGATCACCCAGGCTGTAGTCTGTCAGGAATTTGAAGAGGGGCATCTGATGGTCCTCACACTCCTCCTCAGCCTCACTGTCTCTCCAGTATGACAAACAAACTGTTTTCAAGCCATTTCTCTTTTGCCACACTCTCAACACCCTACCATGGTAAAGTACATTGCATCCATCCTCTTTAGAAAACCAGACATGGTCAATACAACAATCATCCAGACTCTTGGGATTGATCACAACATCACCAAGAACTTCTCTCTGCTCTTCACTCAAACCCAGTTCTTTGGCCAGCTCATCCTTAAGTTCACCACTTTCTACTGCTGCTTTCAGTTTCTTCTCCACGGTGTTCCGGTGTTTGGTTTCCTTCTTTTGCTTCTTCTTTTCTTGTCTGACCTGGTATTCCTTTTCACGTAGTCTTTCCCTTTCCCTTCTGATTCTCCTCACTTGCTTTGCTCGCTTGACAGCAAACAGGATGAGGTGGTTCTGCTCAATACAGTCCTTCTTTTTCAACCATTCAAGGGTCTTGTTCTGCTTTGCACGCACCTTCCCGTCAATGTATCCCATAGTGGCATTTGGTGCGCGGTGGTGCTGGCTATCAACCATGGCGATAACTCTTCCACTAAACATGTTATCAACAGGGGCTGACTTGGTCTGCTCCAACAATGCAGTGGAGGGATTGGACAAGACTCCTGAGAGGTATGGTTGTAGCTGCCGGGTTAGCACCCTGACCGTTGCCTTGAAGAGGACAGGAAGAGTCTCTTTCAGCTCACTCTGGGATTCATCATCCACTTGTTGTAGACATCTGAGGACATCATTCTCCTTCAATGGATTCTCAAAAACATCCTTCTTGGCTTTGAGGACATTAAGAGGCTCTTCTTCAAATTTGCTCAGGTTTTCAACAGCACACTTCAAGAAGGAAACAACCTCAAGGTTCGTTTTGCTAGCCTTGTTACCATAGAGAAGAGACATCCATGGCCCAGTTACAATCTTCCCCAACAGACCCAGGCTCTGCAGGTGAACAACGATCGAAGCGTTGGTGAGGTCCTTGATGATCGATGTGCTTAATCCACTGGTACAGTTGCAAAAATACTGCAGGTAATCTAAAATCTGTGTTCTGTAGCTGAAAAATATTCCTGCTAAATGGAACACAACATGGAGTCTGTTCCCTACGTATCGAACAATCAGTTTGAGATCAATGCCAACTTTTTTGAGGAATGATTTGAAGCCTTTGGGGTCACCTTTTCCTTGCTTAAATCTCATTTTTGACAGAGCATATATCAAATTATCTGCACAGCAGCCACAACCGAGAAGCTGTCCCACGATCTGCTTTTGTTTCTCCATTTGTTTAAGAGAAATCCTGCTCTCATTGGCTATACCATCAAGAGGATGGATATTACAATTCAGCTGCAACAGTTCGATGTTTAAATCTTCTTCCAGTTTTTCTCTGACACATTTGTTTACAGCCACTCGATCTGAAATGGTGTTTTTGAGTTTTGAGATGAAAATATTATATAATATAATATTATATTATTTGGAAATGAGCAATATATAATTGCTCACTTCCAAAGAACTGGTAGCTGTTAGACTTGCATATGTTTCACTGATGTCACTGAGCGCTTCCTTTATATGAGTCGCAAAGTCATCTGTAGTCCCTCCTGCTAATGCATTCACCTGTAACTGAAGTCCCCGTGGGCAGGAAGGGGGATCACCCGGAAACATGAGATGAACCTCATTGATGTACTGAGCTGACAGGGATGTTGCATCCCAACCAAGAGTAAGATCAACAGATTTCTCATTCACTACTGCTTCTGCAACCTGCACTTTACTTAACACACCAAGTTCATATGCAAACTGGGCAACAGTTGAAACATCAGCCTTTCCTTCAACCTTATAGCCTGTGATATTCTCAACAACATCTGCTATAAGATTACTTGTCTCCTCCACTGGCACCTGGTGGAGGATGCATGAGTATGCTGCAAGTCTGTAGGATGAGGAATATGTTTTAGAATCCTTCTTCACTGACATGGTGTCACAGTCAGTTGAAGATTCACAGTCCAGTAACAATCCCTGCAGTTTGTCATTATCCACTTCCAGTTCTTTGATTTTTTTTCTTGCACAGTTCAGTTCTTTTCTGACCTCCCAACAGTCTCCTAAATTTACACGTATGTTTACGTTTCTTCTTCTGCACTTTTGGACAGACCAGTTCAATAGACTTCTTCAATTTTTTAATTTCAGCATCATTTTGCATCACAATCCTCTTTAACTCCCGTCTTTCTTTGCACAATTTTGATTCTATGTCTACTTTTCGTTTATAAGCTTGCTTAATTCTTCTATTTTCAGCACTTGACAAGAGCAAATTGTCAAAATTCTGTTTAAGTTTTTGTTTACTAGACACTAATTTTACAAGTGATGTCCGCCTGTTAACACATTTTTTGCAATCTGCCTTCAGTCGCTTAGGGGAGGGTGCTGTCACAGTCGGAGTTGACACAGAGCTCATGAGAGCAAAGGGAGGACAGCTGGCTGGTCGTTTAACTGGTGTAGCATGAGGAAATGAGGAACCTGAATGCTGGGAGCATGGCAAGCCAGGGCTGGACACTGCTTCAGAAGAAACACTGTCAGTAACATTAACGTTCTTGAGCAGAATACTGAATGTTTCTCTTAAAAGACGCACAAAAGGTGGCCATCCCTTGGTATATTTTTTACTTTCTGTACAGTGTCTATTACTGCTTTCACAGCTGTGTTCACTGTTGTAAAATTGATTGTTTGTTCAGAAATCAGTCCATTTTCTTTGGCTAGCTGAAGTAAATGAGACGTTGTCTCCCTGAGAACTTTTGGGTGATTTAATGAATGTAAATATAACAGCAGTCCTTTACGAATGGGAGTAGCGCTCTGCTTGATGTTGGCTAGGTCATCGTTGAAACTTTTAATGTATGAATGCAGATCACTGGCTGTCTTCAGATCTATGGATGACTCAGAAGGCAGAGCTGCAAATACAAGTTCATTGTAAATATAGTGTTAGTGAGTTCATGTTTTGTTACAAGAATAACTGACTACAAAACAGCCTACAGGAGCAATTTGAGAAATTGGTTAGACAGCCATAGTACAGGCCACACCCAGAACATATGAATGAATGGGAGGATATGATTCCCATGAAAAATAAGTGTACCTGTAATTGTATTCTATTTAATTTAATAATAATAATAATCTGTTATTGTTATATCCTATGTTATTCTTCTTATAATATAAATAAACAAATGTAATGGCAGATGGCCGCTTGTCCTGAGCCTGGTTCTGCTAAAGGTTTCTTCCTCACGAGGGAGCTTTTCTTTCCACTGTCGCCTTCATGCTTGCTCAAGATGAGAGTTCTGTGATGGAGTAAAACTCAAAGCTGCTCCTCAGATAAATAACGTTCAATTATTATTTTGTATATGAATGTTTCTGTTCAGTGCCCTGAGACAACTTCTGTTGTGACTTGGAGCTATATTAATAAACTGAATTGAAAATTTAATTATAATTATTATAAGTAAAATACTTAAGTTACATAATAATAATAATAATAATTAAAAATAATAAATTATATTTTTATTCATAATTATTTTTATAATTATTATATAAACTTTCAATTTTAGTGCTTGCCTTCAGCAGGTACAGCACCAGTTTCATTCCTCTCTCCCTCCATCATCTGGTGTATTTGTGCTGAACTGTAATGACTTGGGGAAAAAAAATAAAAATTAGTAGAAGCAAGACACAATGATGATGACAAAACTTATGTGCAACTAACCCATAACCAACCAATCGAGTAACGGAGATGGTTTCACTTCATGTGTCGCGGCTCATCTCGACCAATTGGAAAGCAGCATACTGGGAAAAACGTCAGAGAGCCCGCCCAAAGTTACTTTGAGAGTACACTCATTAAAATGCATCAATCCTTTATAATTAAACAATATTAAAATAAGAACTCCCCAAAAATAACATTCTAAGACATAAATAAACCAGTCTAAGTAAATTAATGACAGTAAAACTTGCAAATGTTTATTTAGAAAGGATTATTCTCCGGACGTGGAGGGGGCGGATGACAACCCATTACAGATCGACGTCACAACTGGCGGAGGTCAAAAATGGGGATGCGGAAGCTCTGATCGGCATAAAACTTTGCCAAAATGATATTTATTACATAAACTACACCAAGTAAACGTTTTTACTCACCTACAAAGTTACGCTGGTAGCGAATTTTACATGTGAAACCCAAGGTGAACTTTGAAAATTGAGCACGTTTTGAATTTTGAGCAGATTTTTTCAAGCACAGTTCGGATCGTTTCGACAGGTCTCCAAAACCAAAATGTCAACCTTTCCAGTCGATTTCATCCAGAGTTAGACACCCTGATCTGCATTTTGCAAACGCTAGGATTCGCGGTCTTTAAAAACGATGACGTCATCAAGTGAGGCTGCGGTCAGCAGCTCTTATAGTGGATGTCCAAGTGCCTACTCAATGGTGCTTTTCCAGATGTGTAAGCTGTACATGTCAAAGGCACCCCATACCATCAAAGAAGTAATTTTTTGAATGGCGTACTTATAACAGTCTGGATGATCCCTCTCCTATTTAGTAGAGTTAGTGACATTTGTGGGTCCCCACCACTAAAAAAATATCAAATAAAAATTTATAATCCAGCCACTTTGAGATGTGTTGCTGCTAACAGATTCAAAATGACCGTTTTCCCTAAATTTGGCACATTGTCTTAGTTTTAACTTTTCAAATTTTTAGCCAGTTTCGCTATGGAAAAAATATAAGTTTATGAGACTTGCAAAGCATTGCATTCTGTCTTTATTTGCATTTACCCAACTTTGATGGAATTGGGGTTGTATTCAAAAAGCGTTCAATACAAAAACAACTGGACTTTATTTGTAACAGAAGACGTTTCGCTCCTCATCCGAGGAGCTTTCTCAATTCAAAGAGCAGTGAGTGAGAGATTCAGGTTATAAGGCTGAATGAGATAAGACACACACACACACGTAGATTGGCAATTCACACCTTAACACCTTAACAGTAGGGGTTTCTTAAAGTATTTGTTACTCTAATTCACAGACGAGGCCCCTCTGTTCCCATCAGGTGTGAAAACTGGCTGGGAATCAGTCTTAAATTTGCATTATATGTTTTTGAAAGTGGAAATCTGAGGCCTCCTCCTATTAAGAGACGGCTTTTCTCTTTTTACATAAATTGCTTCCTTCACCCCTCTCTCAAACCATCTGTGTTCTCGGTCCAAAATGTGCACATTTTGGTCCTCAAACGAGTGTCCCTTATTTGTGAGGTGGAGGTGAACAGCTGAATCTTGTCCTGAGGAAGTAGCTCTCCT